CAAGCGGTTATCAAAACTCTATTCACTACTATGGACACACTTGTTGCATATCATTTTAAAGCAATTTCCTTAATCTTTCCAATGCAGTCAAATTACTTTAACTTACTCTCTTCAAGTACATGCTTGAAGTATATTTGTAAATGTGGATTTTTTCTTGGGAATTTGTTACATAGAGAATAAGGCATATTTTGATACATGAAAATTAATAAAAAAATTATCATTCATCTTTCAAGAAAATGATATCTTCCTCAGACATATAGTGGATATACCTAATAAATAAGACTTATTTCCCATCTGTATCTTAAGCCTTGCATTTTTTCTGGGTGCCAATATGAAAGTGCTACCAATAGCTTGCTCAAGCCCATAAGCATGGCACACTGTCTAATGACACTTTTGGTAGAAGGCGGCCATTTTGAAAAATGGCGGACATTTTGATAATGGCAGCCATTTTAACTTATTTTACTAAAACTTGAAAAGTAGTGGAGCGATTTTGTTCATATTTGGTATGTTAATACGTATAAGCATGGCACACTGTCTAATGACACTTTTGGTAGTTGGCGGTCATTTTTCAAAATGGCTGCCATTTTAACGTATTTTACTATAACTCGAAAAGTAGTGGAGTGATTTTGTTCATATTCGGTATGTGAATACTGTAAGCATGGCACACTGTCTAATGACACTTTTGGTAGAAGGCGGACATTTTGAAAAAAAGGCTGCCATTTTAACTTATTTTACTATAACTCGAAAAGTAGTGGAGCGATTTTGCTCATATTTGGAACGTGAATAGTACTAAAAACGTATAAGCATGGTACACTGTCTAATGACACTTTTGGTAGAAGGTGGCCATTTTGAAAAATGTTCGATGGGATTCGCTACGCTTTGGCGTTGTCGTTGTTCTGGTTTGTTTACATAGGAAGTGCCATTCAAAATGGCCGACTGGGTAAATTAATTTGCATATTTGTTACTTCCCCTAGCTTTATTTCCATTTGACAATGGCCACCATTTTAACGTATTTTACTATAACTCGAAAAGTAGTAGAGCGATTTTGTTCATATTTGGTATGTGAATATTATAAGCATGGCACACTGTCTAATGACACTTTTGGTAGAAGGTGCCCCTTTTGAAAAATGTTCGATGGGATTCGCTACGCTTTGGCGTTGTCGTTGTTCTGGTTTGTTTACATAGGAAGTGCCATTCAAAATGGCCGACTGGGTAAATTAATTTGCATATTTGTTACTTCCCCTAGCTTTATTTCCATTTGACAATATGCTTTGTTACTTTTTATAGCATTTAATTGTACCTTACTACTGAATTGAATTGTTATAGATCTAATGCTTATTTTTGGGAAGTGAAGTTTCCTAAAATTGATAATAGTTTGCAGGAAATTTCCTGTTTTTTCCCACAAGAGGGACATAATGATCAATAGACTGAATTCTCAAGAAATTCAGTCTATTGGATATAGACTAGTGTATAATCCATGTTTAGATCTTATATTGTTTTTCATTGGTACCTGTTACACTGCTTGGTTGAGTCTAACGAAGCATTTTTGTAACGAAGGTTAGCGACAAAATTGTGTCCACACTGGCTTTATCCAACCCTAACGAAGCAATTATTTGGTGTTACACTGCACTTAAAATGCTTCGTTGCGCGTGCGCATTACTCATCTGCCCCACCCACTTATTATGATTAATATCTTTATTCTTTTGATATAAACAATTGATGAAACTCAAAAATATAATTTTTAATCTTTATTTTAACAATTCAGCACAGAAAAAGACTAGATCAAAATTCTCGGGAAAATAAAACCAGATGAATGTGATCATTCCGTACACATGTCCATACATTTTTCCTATCATTTCGATTTTTATATATTTCACCTGTCAATACGATTACAAGTATTGTTTTCATTTTCAATCATTTCCTTTGGAAAACATATGGAATAAAAATAGGCCTATGTTAATTACTAGGAGGAATTGGATTTGGGGTTTATACAGAGGACTAGTATGTAATATCGTATAAAAACGTTCAATTTCCAAATGGACTTCTCAGTATATTTCAAATAGTGTAGCCATTACTAAAATATCTTGGTGTTCGGCTGGTGGTTTAACTACTATTTCATGACCAATTCATCTTAATATGAATATTACCCGTTTCGCCAATATTCCATGCATATTTGAGTGAGTTTGACATAAATTAGTATGTTAATCCATCAGCCGTCCGTTGAATTCGAAAATGGCGCAAATAGGAAGAAACTTAAATATCAGTTGTAAGCATCGTCTTACGACACATCAATACTGTTTGGGGCTGGCCTAAAACATGCAGCCTCTCTGTGGCAAATATCTGTCGACACGAAACAATTTTGGCCACCGTTCCTTGTCCGCAGGTGGTTTTACCGTATTTGTATACGGAAGTTTTGAAACGTAATTAATTCAATATATTTAAACATGAAGTTTAAATTCAATTACAATTTAAAATCGTCGAAGAATAGAATAATGGAACGACTAGTACAAGTATTGCAATGGGGCGATAGCCAGTTGAATACGATTTCTGAAGAGAGACATTTTCGAATCAATCAAATCGGCTAAATTCACCTGATGTGATTCACCGGGAAGCAATTGTATCAGTATCATGGTATAATTATTCAAGGCGCAAGAAAAAATTAATATTAAACATGTATGCCACAACTTTCTATTTAGTAAGCATATCTTATGTAATTTCAAAAATCAATATTAATCAAAACGTGGCATTATAATGATACGTACTTAAAAACATGTTCTTTCCTCGCAATTCCTCTCATTTAATACAAAATGATGAATGTGCTCTTTGTTACGCGCATGCGCAAACCGCCAACTAAGCAATTTCTAACGAAGCTACCTGTTACACAGGCCAAAAAAGCTTCGTTGGGACCTAACCTTCGTTGAATTTTCTACTCAATTGCTTCGTTATCAACTAAGCTTTTCTAACGAAGGCGGAGGTGTTACACTGGCCCAAAATTGCTTCGTTACGAAGCTTTTTGTCAAATTGCTTCGTAACGAAGCATTTCAACTGGCCTGTGTAACAGGGGTCATTGATGTTTACGCAATCTACACAAAAAACAACAGTCCCTAAAGTTTTTCTACACAGAAAGCCACTTAAAAATTTTACATACTGTACGTACATTACTACAAAGTTGCAAAAACTTTACACCAATCATGGAAAAGCGCTCTGGTAGGCAAAGTCCCGGGGAGTTCACTCTAAATCATTTGGGTATAGGTTTTGAGCACGGGCAATTTTGGCTTAGGGCATCAACCATGGGACCTGGCCAAACTGAGAGGAAAAAACATGGAAAATTTGTCAAAGAGAGAGCCCTTTTAAGTCATAAATCAGTTTTTCTGCAAAAAATGGTAATAAATTGGCAAAATCAGTTGGCGAGGTCTGGGACAAATCACCCAAAAAGTTGATTTTGTAGTTTATTTACCAATATTTCAGGAAATTTACTCCCTTTTATAAGTCTCAGAGGAAGTATACATGGAAGCTTTCAATCTTGAGAGGAAATAGACATTTATAAAATTTTATATACCAATGCTTTTGTTGCTGCCTCTGCTCAAGAAGACACTTGCCATTTTTGATATAATGTTCACAATGATAGTGTTTGATAAAATATGTCCCTCGAGGGAGTTGCTATTTTTCTTTATATCAACATTTTTAGTTTCAGTTTTAGTTTCTGAAAAATTTTCTGGGGGTAAACCCCCATACCCCCCTTTAGGTTTCGTTCACTTGCAGTGTTGCAAACCCCAATAATGCACCCCTTGACACTTACTGATTATGCCCCTGTACATGTATGTTTACCTTCCTAGATATGTTCAATTAAGAATATAACGTATCAGGAATAAATTGGTGAATAAGATGGCCTGTAGAAGTAAAGTTGAGTCATGAGAAATGGTACTAAAGGACAAACCCAAAATGTTTCATAACAAATCCTGTCTTATAAATAATACAGTTGTTTGAGACTTTTTAGAGCCCATGCAAGAAAAACTTGATCTGGAAATTTCCCTTTTGCCTGGAAATATCAGGGAAATGTCAGGGAAATTCATTTTGAAAAAGGTGTACGAACCCTGTTCCTGGATACAAGATTTTTGTTTTCTCGATTTAAACGTAGGTATAAGTCATGTTACGGACTATCTTTTTGCACAAAGTTGGACAATATAGTCTAGCTTTTAGAAGTGCTCTCAGTTTGGAATTCCATCTTTTAAATAAAGCTGTATTTCAAATTCATGCATTTAGACCATCGCTTTTGTTACATTGATGTAAGTCGTCAAAGTAATATACATTGGTAATAATATAACAGACTTTTGTCAATGTAACAAAAGCCATCCTCCTAAGCAGGTATCTAGAATCCGTACCTCCATCTCCCCTACTATAACCAATTTGAAACTGAATCACATGATCTAATTATGCGCAATGACTTATACATGATTTCTGTCACAGTGTTGTGACGGCCAATCAGACTGCAAGTTCTTAATCGGGGAAATGCTTATCACAGGGGGGTAAAAAGAAAGAATATATTCTGGATTTTGAAGCCCTTTGATTGGAGGATGAACAAAAGCGAGGGCCTTAATATATAGATTGCAAATTCCTTTACGAAACTTATTCCAAATCAAAGAAACTTATTAAAACTAGACTATATTTTCTCTCTTTGTGCCAAATTATTATCTGCAAATTGACTGATAATTAGGTTTAAATTGAGAAAACAAAAAACTAGCTGTGGAAAAGTGATTAACAGATTCATGAATGTAGTGTTCGTTGGGATTTTCTTCTCTGGGGAGTTGCCAATTTCTAGATCTTGAAGGAGATGAGGTATGGCATCTTTTTCACATACTTTTGTCATCACACTGCATCCAGCATCTGATTTGAATACCGGCACTGAAGTCCAGTGATGTATTAGTAAGTTCTATTCTTAGAATTAACTGCTTTTCTAGTTGTCAAACCTGTATTTTAATCAATAAATTTTTTATTTGTAGGGTGGCTTTGCAAAATGTTACGAATTGACAGATATGGTTACCAAAGAAATATGGGCTGGAAAAATTGTCTCAAAAAGTCTCTTGGTTAAGCAACATCAGAAAGACAAGGTAAAGTTAAAAATAATCTAAATTTGAATGGTAAAGTAAACACAGTGAATGATGTTATTGGTATGCTGCCATTAATGATAGCATGTCTCGCCATGTGTACTGCACCATAGAAAAATGATAACCTCTGTAGAAACATATATCCACTCTTAACCCTTTAATGGTTACATCTGTCCCCCTCCCCCAAGGCTTTTGGATAACTTTAAAAAAGCAACCCGAAGAAATCGCTATATCTTGAAAAATACTAGTTCAATTATGTTCATATTTTCAGGAAATAAAGAAGAGACTGTATGAACAGCTCCTGTAAATGGATAGTTGTAAAACATGATGCCTTGGACACCTGCTCAAAAGACAGTTGTAGTAGGAAAATATGAAAAATGCAGTCAGGGGTGACTGCAACCGCAAAAAAATGAAGTAACTTCCTAACCATAGTGTTTTGGATCTTCAAATTTGGCACAAATCATCTTCATTCACTGTATGGTAAATCTGTCGAGTGAAATCAAAATCACTTCAGGGACTTTACAGTTGTGGTTGAAATGCTTTCAAATCGCAGTCAAACGCCCTGATTCGGGTAGACTTAGGAAAGCATTTTGATCATGACTGTAAAGTCCCTCAAGTGATTTTAATGAAACTCCACAAATTCACCACACATTGAATAAGGATAATTTTCGCCAAATCTGAAGTGCCAAAACACCATTGTTAGAAAGTTATTTGGTTTTATTGCTGTGGCAGTCACCTCTGACTGCGTTTTCATATTTTCCTAGTACAACTGTCATTTGAGCAGGTGTCCAAGGCATCATGTTTAACAACTTACTGACAACAGGAGCTATACATACACAGTCTCTTCTTTCTTTTCCTGAAAAAATGAACATAATTGAATTAGTATTTCCCAAGATATAGTGATTTTCCATTCACGTTTTTCGTATTTTGCTAGTACAACTGTCTTTTGAGCAAGTGTCCAAAATATCATGTTTTACAACTAACTAACAACAGGGGCTATACATACACAGTCTCTTCTTTCTTTCCTGAAAATATGAACATAATTGGATTATAGTATTTTCCAAGATATAGCGATTTCTTTGGGTTGCGTTTTTTTAATACCCTGTAGTTGATATTTTTACCTGAAACTTTCTGGCCTTTTCTCAAAATTTGAATAACACCCCATGTAGACAGATCACCTAAAATTACATTTGTATGATGAGACTCGACATTCAACTGGAAACTAGAAACATGTTGTCACTGATGTAGCAATTTTTTACTGCTTAATAAATGAAGAATGACAGTCACATTAAGCCCTATGAGTATGAGAATAGCATGAAGTTCTGATATTTCAAGGTAACTCGTTTGAAAAATGATGTCGGTGATTGAAATTATAATGTAATGGTAAACCACAACGAAATATTTGTAGATTTCTTTGAAAAACTAAGAAATGAATCTCATCGAATTTTTAAAAAAAATAGGATTCCCATTTTAAATAATTTTTCTTCAACATGGTAATCCCAAACTTGTGTAAGAATTTTCTATCAAAGAAGCTTTCTCAAAAACTGAAAGTGCTTATTGAATAAATACAATAAATACATGTATATCAAACCTTTCTATTTAGATGACACAAGAAATAGAGATTCACAGAACCCTCTCCCATAGGCACATTGTGAAGTTCCATAAATTCTTTGAGGACTCTGACAATGTCTACATTCTCCTGGAGCTATGCAGAAGAAAGGTATGATTTTGAGGACAAAATATATTTTTGAAGAACTTCACCCATTTTTATCACACTTACAATTATGCACCATTCAAAAGTTTGCGTGAGACCCCCCCCCCATGCGGGGAGAGTAAGGAATTTGATACACAATATTGCCCCAGGAATAGGAATTTGACAAAGGTTGTCATCCCGGGGGTGGGGAATTTGATTTACATGTGCCCTGAAATGGGGACTTTTGACTGAATCTGTTTCGTCCAATATACACTTTGGATTCTCGGAATTTGCAAATGATCGGTAAATTCAGTAAACTATAGATCGCTCATATCGGGAACAGAAGAAAATAACTCATCTACACGTTAGGTATAGTTTCAAGTGTGGAATCGCCGTGAATAACTGCTGGAGAGAGAGGAATTCTTGAATACTAAGCAGTGTCTTAATTATTATTGGTTTGTCAAGCTTGTTTTCGCCCTCCCTTCGGAAAAATGCATTTCCGCGTTCTACTTATATCTATAAACTCGTCATAATTTAATTGGTTTAATATACTTGGGTCAGTCAAAAAGTTCTGTTTATTTATCTCTAACTTTGTCATTTTGAGGATTTACTTCTTGATATTTGGTACATCTATAGAACATATATTTGTGCAACTATTGGATAAATATTGTATCTCAACTATGATTGGTTATTGAATTATGGTTGCTATGGTAACAGAATTGCGGGGCACACGGTTCAGCTAAAAAACGTCACATTTTTAATGTCACAATAATTTCATTTGGCATCAATTTATTGAACAGTTTTTCATGTTAAAAATCAGATCAGATTGTGCAAATTGACAGGTTTTGATGCCAATTCTGTTGTCTTGATGAAATCACAGTCAAGGAAATATTCAATTGTGACAATTTTCAGCTGACTTAGATGATTTCAGGATGAAAACATAAAAAAAGTGAAAAGAGGATTTTGAGAAAAAATGATGTCAAATATTGATTCTCCTAGCAAGTTGTTAAAGTGGAAGCAAAGAAACTTGATACAGTGTATGGTAGAAAACAGGAAAACAGAACAAGAGACATATTCACTGGTGCTTTTGGACAGGATGCTCCAAGATATAATACTGTCCGTGGATGGTACAATGACGTTTTGTCTGGAAAAAGGGATAAACTGTCTGATTCAGCACGGATTGGGCCGGCCCAAGAGTTCTGTGAATGAGGACAATGCTGAGAAAATACAAGAGTTGATTGAGCAGGATAGGCACATTTCACTGGATGAGATTAGATCCATTCTGAATATTTCTCATGGCTCTTTACGATCATCACTAAAGTATTGAAAAAGCGTTATGTAGCCTCAAAATGGGTTCCATGATTCCAGATCTTGCGTAGGAAGGCATGTAGGGCCATACGTCAGAAGAGACGGCGAGGGTTAAAGCCACACTTCCATATGGACAATGCTCGTCCCCACACAAGTAATGTTGCCAAGACTGCCTTAAAAGACCTCCAATGGAGCAGGATTCCGAAAGCACCATACTCCCCAGGCACATCTCCATGTGACTTTTACCTCTCCAGCAATCTAAAGAGGGGTCTTCAGGGGATCTGGTTTGATTCTGATGAGGCTCTGCTGCAGCGGTGTGCAAACGTTTAAATGAATTGTCGGCTGGCGCTTTCAAAGGGCTCAATTCAGAGTAGTGCTTGCAACGGTAATGGATCTCACTGCCGGTAAATTTCACCTCCATTACCTTACCGTTACCGATAATCGTTGATACTGATAATGTTCCTAAAATCCCGGGGAAAAATCTGAAAGTGAAACTAAAATATTTGGAAAAATCCTTAACGAAGCCGATTTCTCAGCTTGATTTCCCGCTCACATCAACTACAGTGGATATATTGTATCATCGTGTATCTCGTGTGTGATTGTGTATTGTTAGGAAGTCTTTGAATGATAATATAGAGTGAATTCGATCAAAATTGATCAAATTATTTGTGTTTGTTTTTACTTCACCGAAATATCACGTCACGTGATTTGTTAATCTCGCGGCATGGGAGATGATTGACAGAAGTGGGCGGGGTTTTGCTTATCCTCCCGCCTTTTACGAATGATTTGCAGTTGATTGACAGATTAGCTCTTCAAATGTGGAGATTGAAATATACATGATTGATATAAACGAACATTGTTTCGTAAATTTGACAATGGATCGCAATGCCAATCATGTTGCAGCAGCATGGCGATTATCGGCAATGGATTTTATTACCGGCAATTGAGAGTATCTACTGCCGCTGCCGACAATCCGGCATTACCGTAAGGCACTAATTCAGAGACTGGGTAGAAAGGCACCGAAAGGTCATTGCAGCAGGAGGCCACTATTTTGAAGGCTAAATAACTAAATTAGACTTAGATATGACATCGGGGACTTAGTTAGAAAGGAGTTTTTCAATATTGAGACAGTTTAAAGTATATTTCATGTAATATAACAGTGTATGAAAATCAATAAAATTGGGTTGAACCGAGTTCACCGCCCTTCTGTTACCATAGCAACCATTATTCAGTAACCAATGATAGTTGAGATACAATGTTTTGTTGATATTTGCACAAATGTATGTTCTATAGATGTACCAAATATCAAGAAAGAATTCCTCAAAATGACAAAGTTAGAGATAAATAAACAGAACTTTTTGACTGACCCAAGTAGATGATTAATTTAATTTAAAATTAATTTTTGAAAATTTTACGTTTGAACAAATTTTAATTTAATTTTATTTGATATAGATGAATAAAACGGAGGGAAGTTACTAAAAAGCCATTACCTTAGAATATGTCATTGCATAAATTACAAGAGACCTTTCGAAAATTACTACTATGTGGATTTGTTCCCGATTTGTACCCATCAAACGCAACAATTCGCCCGCCCATTCAAAATATGATCGTTCATACAGGTATGTTCTCCACTATTGTTGCACAGATACAAACCACAGGTAAAACCATGTCCCTCTCGGCTCATTTTTGTCAAAACTTTCAGGCAGTTTGCGAAAACGTCATAAAATGGACTGTATTCTCATTGGCTTTTAATTTCGCGGGTTATTGCGTCATTTAAAAAGCTGCTTCTCTATTGGTTATATGTAAATCGCAAGCGAACTTTTCATTCATAAATTAATTGTAGTATGTGTAGTGGACTTTCCGCGAAGAATCTTATGACCATATATGGTGTCTCTAATTAAAATATTGACATAAACAAAGTACTGCATGTGTATTTCTCAACATTCACAAACATCAGTCTAAAACAAGGAAATCTGATGTTTAAAAATAGATTTCAAATGGTGGAAGGACCCGGGGGTCGCGAATATTTGACCAGATTTATTGCTCCAAGGGTAGGGAAATTGACACATTTATTTGGCCCTGGGGTAAGGAATTAGACAGACCAAATTTTTTTGTCAAATTCCCCACCCATGCCCGCGTGGGGGGAGGTTCTCTCGAAAAATTTTAAATGGTGCATTAGTGCTATAAATTATTGTCATTTTGTGCTCCTTGGTGTGTGACATGTTTGCCTCTGTCTGGATTGATGAATGTCAGGAGGGTGCCCCCTAAATCTCATCCAACTTGTAATTAAAGATACAATAGCAATATCTGAATAGGTTTTGGGAATGCTATTGTTTTATCCTCTGCTCCATCGCGAAACCAAAATAAGTTATATTTTTTAATTCTTCCTTTCAGTCTTTAATGGAGTTACACAAGCGAAGAAAGGCTGTGACTGAACCAGAGGCTCGTTATTTTGTCAAACAGATTGTTGCTGCTTGCGTCCATCTACATGATCAAAAAATCATTCACAGAGACTTGAAACTTGGTAATCTCTTTCTGAATGATGAAATGGAAATCAAAATTGGAGATTTTGGATTAGCTACTAGATTAGATTTTGATGGCGAGAGAAAACGGTAATTCATTTTACTTACAAGCAGCATTTTCAGTAGCACTGGTGATCCACTCGATTACGCTGGTTACCAGCAAATTCAAGTACTCGTTTTTTTCTTTTCTTTTTTACCATGTCTTATGGAGAGATTTTATATTTCAACTTACAACTACATAAACATATTTATTGTAACATTTCTTAATGTTCATTATCATCATTGTCAATACAAAGTTCAAACACCTACACTATAAGCCTGAGGCTAAAAATTCACAAATAAGTGAAGCAAGAGTCGCCTTAATAGGGATATATGGGTCAGCTCATTTGCGAACCGTTTCAGTAACCAGGGTAATCGAGCGGATCACCAGTGAGTAGGTTATTCCAAAAGTGTGTCCACCATGAAAGTCAAAGAAGAGTAGTGCTTCTAATCTAATCATACATCTGAGTGAGCTTGAAAAACCTCTTCATTTTATCAAAGTGTTTATTTGTTTTTTTCAAGTACTAGCGTGTATAGAATTTTTATCGCTATAATGGCGTTGTCTTGTGCTGATGGGCGTTTAGGCGGGTGCTCAATTCTATATCTAATTACATATTCAACTGTTTTGCTCTTCAAACTGCGATAGGTTTAGGGCATGATGGTAAATTATTTCGTGACCATTTTTAATTTTGCTGTGAAAAAGGACAGCTTAATTATTAGAGGTGTCACGGATACTCGTATTTGTTCCGTTCCGCGGTTCACTCCTTCTCATTGAAGAGTTTTCAAGAGGTTTTTGCTACCAGATAGACCTAGTCGATCAACTTATTTTATACGTACTAAATATGCTGAGTGTTTATCTTTCTCGAGTAGTCTGATCTGCAACTTTGCAATGATCATGGTGGCGGCTAAACTCGAAATGTCAAATGAGTTGAAACCCGGGAAACAATATATTGAAGACGTTTCGAAGGACGGTAAAATTCCATGTTTGGAAATATTGCGGTAATCCCGTGATCGGGGGTTAAGTTCAGCGGGACCAGAGTGCCTTCAAAGATGTGAGGTCCTAATAACAGACGCTCAAGGTAAATTTATTGTTATTTTTGTTTTTTTTCCCAGTTCGAATTGGAGATCTACTTCTAGGACACGTGAATTAAATTTTTTATTTCATGTACAAGCTAGATATCCAGTTATTGTTCATAAACTCGCAAAATTAAGTAGTTTTTTTGCAAATGACAATACAGATCTTGTCCGACAATAAATGGGGCAACTTACGAGGCCCAATGTGATTGAATGAAGTATGAAAAAATGAGAGCAGTTGGTTACTTACTTTCTGATCGGGCCTCGTAGAGTATAATACACATAGACTCGCGTCTTGTCACTGTTCACTGTTCCGAAATTGTTCTGTTCCAAACCGTTCCGCCTTTTTTTTTGTTCTGTGAAATCGGCACTAAAATGGCCGCCATTTTTTGAGCGGCCATTTTGAAAATCCTTTTTTGAGCGGAACTCTACACCCATTGGGTCAGGGCTCTCGCTACGCTTTTAGAGTGTGGCGCCCCGCCACACTCTAATTGAGTGCCGCCACAACCTATCCAAAATAGAAGGTAGTAACCACAGTCTAAACTGTAGTAACCACAGCCTAAATTGTTGAAAATTCATGCTAATATCGTGTTAAATCACGATTTATAAACAAATTTCTTTTACCTGACAGCCATATTTGTATTGAACGTGAGGTACTGCTTCTGCGCCAAAATAATTGCGCAAGGAGCTTCAGAGTCACTTGGACGCACTTTTCCAACGGCAGATCACGGCCCAAGGCCAAGATCAAAAACAAATTGAAAAAAATTCAACCTATCTCTTCTATAAAACTAATTGTAAATTATACTCAAAACGTAATCAGAATAAAAGAACAAGAACCCACCTACCTTAGAGAAGACAAATCTTAAGTGAAATTGACAGATAATCATCAGTATTTGAGAAATACTGAGTGAATTATACTTGCCGGTAAACAGGAAGTCAAAAAGTATGGCCTGCCAATCCAGCAGATTATAATTCAGCAAGTAAACAGGAAGTCAAAATGTATGGCCTGCCAATCCAGCAGGTTATAATTCAGAATCAGAAAGTTTGCAGTGATTCAATAGAAGAAGGTATAATGTATATTTCTAATATTGTACACAAATTATGGATAAATTAAGAACTTTTGCAAGTGAATATAGTTACAAAATATTTTTAATAGCTTAGGCTCGCTCCGCTCGCGCGTTCGCTTTACTCACGCTTCGAATCTTGATTCGCAGTAACAAGCACCACACCCTAATTTTTTTCTGGTGAGAGCCCTGCATTGGGTATATATTATCAAAATAAGTTTGCTGAAGTAAGTGGTAACATGAAAAAGTAAGTCTGCTGAAGTAAGTGGTAACATGAAAAAGTCTTGGTCTATCATTAATGAACTACTTGAAAAAAACAAAAGAGCTGCATTGCCATCTAAATTCACTATAAATGGAAAGGAAACAACAGATCATGAAATCATTTCTAATGGATTTTCATAATTTTTTTTCCAATATTGGTAAAAATTTAGCCAAGGAGATTCCAAAATCCAAAAAATGCTTTAATGAATACCTAGCGAAAGTTCAAAAGGTTCAATCATCTATTTATCTCAAAAAGACCTCAAAAACTGAGCTTGAATTAGATATGTGTCTTCTAAAATCTTCCTCGCCTGGACCTGATGGGATTCTACCATCACTTATTAGTTTGCAAGACAGCTTTTAATTGATCCACTCTTGTATATATTTAACTTATCTTTTAAATCTGGTATTTTCCCAGATGCCCTCAAATTGGCCAAAGTAACACCTATATTTAAAAAAGTTGTTACTACAAATCCTTCTAACTACAGATCAATTTCAGTTTTATTGGTATTTTCTAAATTGTTAGAAAAGCTCATGCACGCCAAACTCACTGTTTTTTTAGAAGGTTTTGAAATTATTTTCACTTATCAATTTGGATTTCAGAAATTCAATTCTACCTACATGGCCATTTCATATTTAATTGAACAAATTCGAAAATCAACTGATAAAACTTTTTTCAAGGCCACAATATCGCAGATGCGAGTAGAAATAATCTTGATTTACGTCATTAAAAATTCACAATTCAGTGAAACTGATGTCATATTTGAAATCTACACGTAAAATTACATTTAGAAATGTGGTTTTGAAAAGAGTTAATCAACTTTGAAAATTTAATTTTCTTTGAAAATGTGACTTCTAGGTCGGGGAGATTCCCCATAGAGCCCATGTTGTAAAACCACAAAAAGTGAAATATCTTTTCTTGTGTTGGGCAGATAATATTTTCTTTTACTGGACATATTTTAATTTGTATAACTATCAGATACATAAAGGTAATATGAAAAGTGAACCATTCAAACTGATGCATATTCAAGTTTAAGTGGATTTTGTAATACCCTGCCATGTTAATTCCCCCGAATCAGCCACCTGGTGGCAAAACTGGTAACTACCTACTCGGATCTGAGTAATTAATCATGACATTTTGATACATAAACTTGAATATTATGGCATCAGAGGAATAGCTAAGTCCTGGTTTGAAAGTTATTTAAAAGATCGCAAACAATATGTCACCATTAACAATAATGAATCTAGACACTCATCTCTAAATTGTGGTGTTACGCAGGGCTCGGTACTTGGACCACTATTATTTATTCTTTACATAAATGATCTGCCTATTGTTGCTACTAATCTAAAATTTATCACATTAAACATCTACTTCAAATAGACAGTTTCAAAACAATACTATTCATTGATACACTCTCAATTAAATTATTGCAACATAATCTGGGGTAACACATTTAAATCATTTTATGATTGTCTTCATAAACTGCAGAAACAATTCTTAAGACTAGCTTTAAATAAGGATAGACTTTCTCACTCCACTCCCCTATTTAAAGATCTTAAAATACTAAATATTTTTGATGTTAACAGATATTGTACTGGTCAGTTCATGTATAAACTCTTTAATAAACACCCCAGTCTTCCAAAAAATCTATTTCAAGACTTGTTTGATATCAACATTAATGTCCATCATCATTTCACAAGACAGTTTCATTATTTTCATATCCCTAAATGCTCTAAATTTTCCCTTCGCTATCTAGGTCCTAATCTTTGGAATGCCCTACCAGATGATATTAAAAAATGCTCCACTCTAAATATTTTCAAATCTTCATATAAAAAACTACTCATCTATCGATAATGTATAATAATACTAATATTATACTGTATTGTTGATTTTATAGTGGTACCCGATTTTTCGTAACATTTCTACATTGTACATCCTTTTAGTAATTGTTAATAACATTTTATATACCTACATGTAACATAATATAAGAGCTTTCTTTTATATTTAGTCTAGATGTCATTTTAAAAATTTCTGTTAAACCGCAACATATACCCACTAGGGTGTCCAGCGGCTTGTTTTTATAGTGTATATTATATAAGAATTATGAAATAAATAAATTGAATTGAATTGAAATAGAATTGAATATTTGGTATATGAATACTTTAAGCATGACACAATGTCTAATGACATTTTGGGTAGTAGGCGGCCAAACTTACATGGATGCAAAAACTTCTTAGTTCATGGCTCTTGACAAGAAATGAGCTTTTCAGGTATGATTCAAAATCACTTCAAAAAATCGAAGAAAAAATTTTGAATAATTTTTGGAAAGATTTTGTTCATGTTTTAAGAATTTACACAGGACAGAAAGAAAAAGAAGCCGAACATAATACTAAAAAAATGAGATCTGAACATGTATAATACATGGGGGAAACATACCAAACATCAAAATGTTCAATGTATATATTACAAAATACAAAGGTTATCAATGAAGTAATTGTACAACAAGATGTATTTCAAAGTTCAAAAAGACTTCTAACGCTATTGGAATTCAATGACAAATTCCACACTAATATAAATTTTGAGTCGTATATATAATATTTGAGTCTAAAAAACACAATTCCAAAATCTTGGCTAAGAGATTTAACCTTTACCATGCTGCCTTATTTCAGCAAATATATCCCACGCAACTGGCTTATTTTTCAAAGAGTGCAAAAAATGATAAACCTGGACTAAATAATTAATATCTCAATAACTACTGAATGAATCTGGATAAAATTTTCACAAAGGGAAGATACAGTGGCCTGGCTCATGAAAAAAAATGTTCTCATGAATTTTTTCGTACATTAACACGACTGGGCATAAATATACCATGAATACTCCTCCGGAATCCGCCGCTCCGCCTCTTCGTCTGGTCAGAATCCAAATCTGAATTTGCAGCGATCGAATGTTCAATTTTTCAATTCAGAAAATATTCTAGTTTCTATTTTCGATGACCGTTATCGGCTTCCAAGAGCCTAAAGAGCTCGAAATCGTAATCCATTTCCTCCACATTTTCGTTGTCATCGTATTTGTCCACCATTTTGTACGATTCGTTCACTAAAAACGACTAAAACACTGTTTAAATTGTTGAATTGAGAATTATTTTTCGAAATATCGCCATTTCTAGGTCAACAGGAAGTCATGTTAGGCACTGAATAAATCGAGCAATCTAATTGGACAATACGAATGGCGCGAAAAAGTAAAGTTTTTAAAAGTTTGAAATCGGGCGTACGGGTCCGCCGGCAGTTGTGAGAGACATTTTAGTCTCGGCGGACGAGTCCGCCGGCAGCACGCTAAAGGTTAATGGAGAATATTCAGAATATCCCTGATTATGAAAGAAACAAAGCATATGAAAAAAAGTTTCTTATTCAGTCAAAGATTAGTAAAATAATATACTGGGAATTTGTTCAGAACCGAGAAAGGAATTCAAAATATATAGAAGGATGGAAGAAAGATCTAAATTTGTCACTCAATCAAAGTGATTGGAAGAAGATAGATAGATTTAACAAACTGAGTAACTTTGAACCAAATTTATCAGCTTTCACTTACAAAGTCCTTCATAGATTTTTAGCAACTAATACATACCTAAACATGTGTGGACTCCAGAGTCAAACATTTGCACTTTTTGTAAAGCAAATCCTGAAACGATTTGCCATCTTCTGTATGAATGCTTTATTAAGTGACATTAAACAATGGCTCCCTTTAGAGCTCACATTGCTATGTACTAAACAAAATGTATTGATAGGACCTGAGAGTATAAATGAAAAACCAATCATCCTAAATAATATGCTATTTATTTTTAAAAGGTATGTTTATTTGTGCAAGTATTCTATGCTAAAACCAACACTTAAGTAACACTTTTATAAGTAATGTGAAGGAATATTTTATTATAGACAAACGAGTCGGCAGAGGTGATAAGTGGAAAATCATGGAAGCAAAATTAAAAAAATGTACTGATGATTTTCCCTTTAAATAATAAAAAAAATTGCCAAAGGTATAAAATTCTTATTGTAAAATGTACGTTTTCCATGTAACTGTATTGTAATTGTTTTTTGTAATTGCTTTAACATGTTTTTCTTCTCTGAAAAAAAATAAAATAAAAAATATATATATTTGAATTCACATTTTCAGCACATTGTGTGGAACCCCAAACTACATAGCTCCTGAAGTACTTGGCAAGAAGGGTCACAGCTATGAGGTGGATGCCTGGTCATTGGGCTGTATATTGTAAGTATTCCTGAATTCGCAATTTAAAAACTATGGATTCATGTTCCTGGGCCTATGCTCAATACTGAGATTGTAAATGCCTAGCTTGCAAAATAATAGTCCACCATCCTGGTGCAGTTTTCCCAAAGGGCTCTCGTCATTGACACGTTGTTTTGCAGATCTTTCATCGCAACATGGGCCCTACATCAGGAATTGAGTGCGATCCAGAACTTTTAACTTGTAAAATGCGGATTGAAACAACAAATTCAACTTGGAATCGATAAGTCCGCAAATTACCCCACTCAGTAACAATGGTGTCATCTGACTGTATACAATATTTTTATCTATATCTAACGGAAATAGCTCAGATATCTCTCTGGAGTGAACAGCGTTCAAGAAGGGAATGAACTATATGTCAACTCCAGTAAAAAACTGAATTTCTTGTTTTTGTGAGATTTGGAATTTTGAGGAATCCCATTGCGATTGCAGAAACGCAAATTTCTAAGGGGACAGTTAATTGGTCACATTTTACATTGCGTAGCTTACCTGCATTTAATATTGATTAGTTTTACTTTCTGGATTTTCAAGTTTGACTCAAAAACCAATTTTAAATTTCCTCTTGCTTAGAAAATCTTGCCACAGATTTTTAAGCAAAAAATACATTTTCCCCAAAATCTATGTTCTAAAATACTCATATGAAAATCATTAGAAATATAGCCTAGTTGAACTATTTCTATGAAGATTTATGCCACAAACATGGTCCAGAAATAAAGTCACTTTTAAGAAGATTTTTATTCATTTTTCTTTTGACCCTATGTTAATAAAATAAAATAGCAATACATGTATCTAAAAAAAACATTTGAAATTGAGCCCTAATATTTTAGATTTGTCAAACAGGCTACATTTGTAAAATTTTAAGAAAAACAAATTTTGAACTGGATTTTGGTGGTTGAATTTGCATGGAATGTCCCCAGTGTAGCATGATGGCAATGCTTTTTAAAAATTCTATATATAGATGTTAATGCACACATTAAAAGAAATATAACAATAAATCATTGATGTTTGGGATTATGAATTTGCTTCTATGTAAACCAACAGTAAAAGCATTTTCATAATCTCCCATACATCCATCTTTTAGCAACCAAAGAGGTTTTGTAGAACTTCTTTGACATCATAGACTTGTAACTGTTGATAATTCACTTTAAAGTTTGGATTCCTGTTCATGACCCTTTAGACTTGGGGACTGACCAATTGCTTTTATATGAAGAGAGAGTAAAAGCATTCGATTAGTCTCCGATTTTTAAGGGTACAGTCTGCACATATTGTAAGAGCCCTTAACTCTATTGATCGGGATGTCGACTAATTCATCCTATCGGTAACTGCGTGAAGTCGACTATAGTCGACTTTTATTATAGTCGACTTTTATATACATATTATGCTTATAAGTTTTCCATTGTATTTATAGATGTCAGGCTATGTCTAGCCTTGGGATTATGTTTGTACTGGACGAAACATAAACGTAACAGGAAGTTAATGATATTTCGTGACTTTTTCATAAAATAAACCGATGTTTTTATTTGAAATAAAGAAAAATGGATTTAAAATGGCTGCTGCTAGAGCTCAAACTGTATTAGGGCTACTGGGGACACTTTTGATCAAATTTTCAATGATTTGGACAGTGAAAACGATACTTGATGAAACGAGGTGAAAATTATGATTTAATTTGGATTTTTTGATGGTATTATTTTATTTTTATTAGTACATAGAATATTATTTATTTAATTTTATTATATTTTTCTCATCAATGATTTAATGGCTAGTCTATACACTAGAATTTGTATGTTTTGATGGTTTTAAATTGTAGAACAACATATTGACAGCATTTACTGAAACTTTCATCAACATCTGATTGGTAGTTAAAAAGTTATGACTGTTTGAAGAAAGTCAGTCAAAAGTAGACAATTTTCATTAAATGAATTACCGATCCTAGCAATGTAGCAAATTTGCTAATTACCAGTCAAAAGAGGTTAAAGATGTAAAGGTCCATGTGCAGTATGGCAAGTGATTTTAGACAGTCATATCGTTCACCATGGGTACTTTCTGGCCATCAATACAGTGGTTTTTATTAAAACAATGTTTTCTTTCAAGTGAAGTCCCCATGGTAGTAAAATATCAATCAAACTCTCTGAATAATAATGGATTAGAACCCCACATGGCAGTTTTTTAAAATGTTAGGCTCAATTTCTAAAAAGAGGATCTTGTTTTTCTCAATTTGAACATATTGAAAGTTTCTTCTACACTATATCGACAATTTCTGAAAAGGGTATACTGTAAAACGGGTAATTTTGACACCGGGAAATTTTAGCGATTTTTCAATTTTAGGGGGTTTTAGCGAGGGAAATTTTAGCGAAATGAAGATTAATCTTTAAAAAATCAAATTAGCGAAATGCATTTTATCATTTATGGCAGAAGAATGAATAACGGACATGACAGAGGAATTATCAAAATGTAAGACTTCTAACGCTCATAGTATTGGTCGAAACTACTGTAATCTCATCTGACTAATCACAAAATCACGGTAGCATTTAAAGTCGTTGATTTTTCGGTCCAAACTAATCTCAATCTCAAATTTTAGCGCCCGGTTTATTTTAACCCCGGTTTATTTTAGCGAATTGAATTTTTAGCGAAACTATAGCGATCGCTAACAATCGCTAACAATTACCCCTCGCTAACAATACCCGTTTTACAGTATGTATTGAAATGCGTAAAAGTTAAAAACCGCATATACCATGTTATTAGGGAAAATTCGTGCTATCCATTGTTTTCAGCATAGTTTTGGTCATCAAAAATGGATATCTTCAAAACTAGACTTTCAATACCATTCTAGTTTTGAAGAAGTTTTAGACCCCTTCTTGAATAATCTTTTCATGCAATAAAAACCAGAAAAAGAAGATCTTCTTTTGAGTAAATATTAGTTCAATATTTTGAAAAAAACGTTGACATGGGGTCCCTATTCATAATTTTTAGAATTGTTTGATTGATATTTTTATCATCATGGGTACTTCACTTGAAAGAAAACATATTGTTTTAATAAAAACCACTGTATTACCCAGAAAGTACTCATGGTGAAAGATATGACCATCCAAAATCACTTGCCATACTGCACAAATGGCCCCAAAACTTAATAAAACACATTGAATGTTCATTTATGTCTGTGGATTATATTTTAAACCACAAACACTTTATAAATACCTGAAATTTGTATCGCGCTAGTCACGTGACCATTATGAGTAGCAGTCAATGCCTATAGATATTATAGTTCATATTTCAATATGGCAACCATCAGCGATTCTGATTCCCAGATTCTAGCTAATGGCTATATTGGCGAAAGGGTGTCATTTGAGGACAATGCAAAGAGGGGAAAGGGTGCCCAAGTACCAGTAAGAGCAGATATGGGGACTATAGACAAGTACATGTAGTATGAAAGGTACAGAGAAAACTCTGGAATGAAGACCCGTTGTCAGTCATTGACTGAGGATCCCAGCGATCCCATTACTCAGATTGAATTTATTAGACGCGAAAAACAGTTATGATACAGTTTTCTGCAAACTTATTAAAATATTAGATTTGGTTTTCAAGTGGTTTACAAGCATTTAGATACAACGCTTGTCAAATACATGCAGACTAGACTTCCGATAAATTGGCCATTGCAAATTGCAAAATCAGATTGTTAAATAATCGCTTCGTTTTTAGAATTATGCTTCATATCTTCATCCGAAACTTTAGGATTCGATAAAGATAAGTTATAACTTTTACAGGAAGAAATGGCAGATCCGACCTTCATTTAGAATCGCTGATTTCTCTGTACAAATTCCGAGAAGTTGTTCAACATCACGATGAAAGACTAGGCCCTATATCCACATATGTGTATGTCACTCTGAACTTGCGCGATAAAATACGGCATTTTGATTGGTTAATACTCATGTTGCCATGACACGAAAGGCATGAGTGAACGCTGAATATGTTAATGAACTGCCATATATGGAACATTTGTCTCTCTGATTGGTTAACCATACACGGCTCCTGAATGAATATAGAAGTCGAAGTAAATAATTCATTGATTAACCTTTAGCATGCTGCCTTATTTCAGTAAATATATCCTACCCGACTGACTTATTATCCCGATGAACGAAGCGTCTGTCAGTCAGTCAGTCCGTCAAATAATCGCTTCATGTAGTCACAAGTCTGCAGACCCGACACCAAACAAGACAAAGAGGAAAAGTAATAGGGAGAAAGAAGACCAAGAAAGAAGAAACTAAAGAAGACAAGAAAGTAACAACAACAGAAACAAAGAACAAGAAACTAAGAAGACAAGAAGTAAGAAGGAAACAACAGCAACTACAAATAGATTTTCAAGCTGGACTGAATGATGATGACATGAACAGCATATAAACAAGCCGTCCGTCCGGAAGATACTCAAATACTAGTTGACGGATTTTCTTCATATTTAGTGGAAAGATGTATATTGGTGAATAGTTTATGCAAAAAAAAATTTCATGATTAAATGCTAAATCACTGGAGCAGATACCATCCAAAAACATCTGACATTCAACACGTCGTATAAGACTTTTTACAATAATAGAGAAATACGATGTCATATCAGCGCTACAGCAAATCGTGAAGAACAAAATGCTCTCAAGTCGTGGCATGATAGTATTTTGAACATAATATTTTAAATGATCGGTTTTTGAGGAGGGTAGTAAATGAGACCATTAGGGTTATATTGAAAGATTCTTCACATGAAGTTCAGGCAATTTTAATTATTCTGAATAGCGGATAGTCATTAATACTGATAGCGGATAGTCATTAATACTGATAGCGGATAGTCATTTATCATTAACGTGTTCATAGTTAATTTCATTACTTTATTTCAATTTGATACCCTAGTAACACGTATAATCGTTCTTGTTAATTTAATGACTAAAATGCATATACGACCTGAAAGCCCGTGTCTAAATCTA